TTCAAGATGTGATCGGGGAGGGTAACTTTGGCCAGGTTCTTAAGGCACGCATCAAGAAGGATGGCTTACGGATGGACGCTGCCATCAAGAGAATGGCATTGATCTAAGGTCACAAAAATGAAGTATTTTCCGGTTGTGTTCATCTCAAGACTGCTTGGTGCCTACCCATCTAACAAGATGGCTAATAGACATCTTCGGAGAAGGCAGAACATCTAGTTCACTAGCAGTACTAGCTGTAGTCTCTTCTGTGTGAAGTAGCAGGTTATGCAGGGCTTAATAGAGAAGCTACAGTGTGGCTTTTATAGCATCAGGGCTTGGAAAGCTGTGTGTCAGGGCAGAGAATGTAATTAACTACTGTTGTGGGTCAGCTTCAACATGTGGGCTTTTTAAGGTTGCTGTTGGGTTTTCCTCTCTGACAGCAATGTTGAGCCTAAGAGTGGAATTAACCCTAAATCTCATTAAGTCATTGCTGCTCTTTGCGGCAGTGTTGACAGAAAACAAATAAAATAAAACGAATAAAACAGTGTCAATGCTTAGAGATTGTAGTATTTTTCAAACACACACATATACATGTACACACACAATCTTGCTTAGCATCCAGAAATCTCTTTTCTGTTTTGCCACTTTAGATAGGGGGATAGTAAGAATAGTATGAGGGGAAGGGTATAGAGTCATAAAATCAGGGCTTTTAAAGTCTGGTCTGAGCCTGATGGTCCCATGCCCATGCAAAGAGGCAAAATAGCTTAATGGGGCACCAGGGCAGAAAATGTCTGCACGGAGAATGATGCATCCAGAGGAGGAGAGATACTGAAGTAGGGGACAACGTCATTATAAAGACCTTCGTTTTAAATATGCTCCCAAGGCATCAAACCTCAGGCTTCTTGTGATATGAACAAGGTATCTGACTTGGGATTGCCTATTAGCTAGTTTTATGTGTACCCTCAGCCCATATGAAACATTCCTGTAATTTCCAAGGGGGTTGAGGCAGGCACAGGGCCACCAACCCCCACCAACTGCTCCCCTCCCCCCTTTGCCACCCAACATTATTTTTCAAAAAAAAACCGTAATAGCGCTCTGTCACCAATCAAGGCTGAGGACTTTGTACATCAGCCAGAGAGAGCCTTCTCTTCAGCCTGGTTGGTATCTGGTGGTTCTTCCTCTGATCCAAGTGGTAATGGGGAGACAGGATGAAAAGAATAAAAACAAATACAGTTCCCTTTCCTGACTATCAAGCAACTTCCATAGAAATGCCATTGGCTTCGAATTTTTTTCTTTTTTTTTTTGTAGGCAGGACTCGTTTGTGGAAAAGCAAGTTAAAAGTATTATAATAAAGGAAGGTGTGTACACTCCTGGTGTTGTACTGAAACTTTGGTTTTGTTTCTCAGCATATTCGTTGCTGGATAGTGGCTTCAGCCAGAATAGCTAGAGTCTGAAGTAGAGGCTCTTCCATCTCTTCCAAGTCATCTCACTGGCTATTTGAGAGCTTAAAGAAGAAAGCTTGAGAATAGTTTTTCTCAACTATGGGTAGTTTGCCCCTTGGGGGGATATTCAGCAATGTCTGAATACATTTTTGGTTGGGCTACTGGTATCTAGTGGGTAGAGGCCAGAGATGCTACAGAACATTGTACTATGCTGAGGACAGCTCCCAGCAACAAAGAGGTGTTCGCTCAAAGTGTCAGTGGTACCAAGTACTCTTCCTAGAGTAATCTCTGATTTCTATACAGTGTGCCAGACCTGATGGTGACTAAGTACCTCTGAAGGTCCTGGGGAGTGGGAGGGGACAGTTGTTTCTAAAGAGGTCTAACAGCAAGGGATCACAACTCTTGACTTTATTCCCAGAATATGCCTCCAAAGATGACCACAGGGACTTCGCTGGGGAACTGGAGGTTCTCTGTAAACTTGGCCACCACCCAAACATCATCAATCTCTTGGGAGCGTGTGAACATCGTGGTAAGATGCTCTTTTTCCTGTCTTTTCTGCCAGATTTTTTTTTTAAAACAGGCGCATTCCATATTGAAATTAGTAAGTATAACAATCTTAAGAATGCTACCCATTTTTTTTTAAGTTGCAGTTTCATTCTGAATGTCTAGTACCATTTATAGATTGTGATGAAGCCTGGCGGCTTTTCAGTGGTAGGTCCCAAGGCTGGGTCTTTTGCCTTCTGATGTGGTTCGCCATTACTGCCCAAAGTGCCCATGGTTGCCGCACACTCTCATCCTTGCTCCTCCAGGGGTTTCCTCAGCTACTATTGCCAGGTGGATTGGGGGAGCCTCAGCATCAGGAAGCGTGAAGTGCATTGGCTCTTCTGAATTACCTTTTTTCCTCCAAACCCAAGACACTGATACTCTGGATGTTAAATACATGAATGCCAACAATCTACTATAATAGGAAAGCATCAATAATAGCTAGGATGAGATAATAGTAACAACAATAAGCTTATATATAATATAACTTTCTTTTTTTCCAAAACAATTACAGGCACAATTATGGTGGAGCTTTATAACTATCCTATGTTATACATACTCTTTAAATTTTTTTAAATGTTTATTTATTTTTGAGAAAGAGAGCATGAGAGGAGGAGGGGGAGAGAGAGAGAGAGAGTCAGAGCCAGAGCATGAGTAGAGGAGGGGCAGAGAGAGAGGGAGACACAGAATCCAAAGCAGGCTCCAGGCTCTAAGGTGTCAGCATAGAGCCCGACGCGGGGCTCAAACCCATGAGCTGTGAGATCATGACCTGAGCTGAAGTCAGATGCTTAACCGACTGAGCCACCCAGGTGCCCTAGTCATACACACTCTAAAACTTCAACTTACATTATTAATTTAGATATTACTGAGTACTTCTGTGGGTTTACTTCAGCATCCTACCTGGGTTTATGATTCTGAATCGATGCTTAAATTTAAGTCCTCATGGAAAAGTTTGCTCCCACAAAAAAAGCTCCACACAGTAATTATTTACAAACTTGACAACCTCTTGTTGACTCTGAGGCACAAACACCAACAATAGAAGAGAGACTACTTCCTCTTCCTCAATTTATTAAACTAAAAATAATGGGGCTTCAGACAATATATCATTCTGTGATCCAATAAGGGTGTAATTCTGAAAGCCAGATCGTGTCACTTAGGTTCAATAATGAAGTAATGACATTTATTTTTGAGCTATTTCCTGAAAACAGTAGTCAGCATGGGACGTCAGTAAATGAAAGTTAAAAAAAGAAAAAAAGTAACCACCACCAACAGAAAAATATGTGTCTTTTTCATTTTTGCTCTGTTATCACCTTAGCACATAATTGGTTGGCTCTTAAAAGGTATAGTTCAGTGAGGAAGTGAGAAAGCATTGAGGTGTATCTTGCTTTACAGTGCTACATACAGTGCTATGTCTATAGTGCTAGACATTTTTTTAACCAGAATTTCAGTTTCTTAGAGTGTCTTTGAAATTCACATTCATTTGACATTTTAAATGTGAAAAATGGTATACCAAAAAATTTATCTTTAAAAGACAATAAGACCACTCTACTTTTCAGTGACTCTAAAGATCAATGTTTTTATGAGAGATTCATTTTACGGAACAAAAGAGGAAAACGATTTGGAATTAGACGAAGACAGTGGACCATAATTTCTTCTAGGACCTATTGTGTTATTTGTCTAAGTTTGAGTTTTCTGATTTCTCTAAGCAAAATGTAGTCTCTGACCTCAGACTCTGTGGACCACTGACCTGATGAACAGTATGGTGACACAGCAGGAGTTTAGGGAAGGAGGAGAAGCAGGACACAGAGTGTTACCTGGTACCGGTCCTCCTGCCGTGGATGCTACATCTTTTTTTCTTTTCTGTTTTTTTTTTTAAGTAACCTCCAGAGAAGTTAGAAGCAGGCTGCAATAACACGCCTGGCTCATATTAGTTCTCCATTAATACTGAATAATAAAAATAAAATATGATGCGGACTAGCTGTCCTGGATCTTCTGGAGGCAGATCTTACTGAGTAGGTGCGGGCTTTCAGGAAGCCTCCATGTCAGTCCACATGTGGCAGGCGGGAGGGTGTGGGAAAGAGGGGACCCTGAGTTCGAGCACGGTGCCCGTCAAGCATGGCAGGAGCATGGAACTTCTCTCCATCCTGCTGCCAGTGTTCCCAAGGTTGGTACCGCTAGACATGTTGCCTTTTTTAAATGTTGATTTATTTATTTTAATAGAGGGAGAGCAAGCAGAGGAAGAACAGAGAGGAGAGAGAATCTCAAGCAGGCTCTGCGGTGTCAGTGCAGAGCCTGATGCAGGGCTTGAACTCACGAGCTGTGAGAGCGTGACCTGAGAGGAAATCAAGAGTCGGTCACTTAACTGATTGAGTCACCCAGGCATGCCGACGCGTTGCTTTTAGATCCCAGGTGTCACAAGCCATTCCTGAGACGATAGCGCACCTCCGAAATCTCAGAGCTGTTGAGGGCCACTGAGAAGGTGGTGTCTCTCCCTTTCCCTGCAGGCTACCTGTACCTGGCCATCGAATACGCTCCCCACGGAAATCTCCTGGACTTCCTGCGCAAGAGCCGAGTGCTGGAGACGGATCCGGCCTTCGCCATCGCCAACAGCACTGCCTCCACGCTGTCCTCCCAGCAGCTTCTCCATTTCGCGGCGGACGTGGCCCGCGGCATGGACTACTTGAGCCAAAAACAGGTGTGTTGTGAGGACCTTGCTTTGGACATCTTTCCTTCGAAATTCTCTCTGGACTCGGAGTTGAGCTAAATTTACACGTTTTTCCAGCCAACCTGCCCCCTTTAATGCCTTTTATGATCACCCTGATTTTAATCTCTTTGTTACTATTCTATTTATATAGAAGTTAATGACAGACACTGACAGTAACTGTATTTAGTGAATCTCAGCATATGCATTTGGTGAGGAGCTTGAACTGATCTTAGCTTCATTTGGAGCCAAATGATGCATGACAGCAGAGGACTTACATGGCAACAGGAAGATTGAGTGACCTGGGTTTTTCTTTTTTTTTTCTTTCCTTTTCTTTCCTATTCTCCCCCCCCCCCACCCCAAAAAGCTTCTCCCAAAACACGATGGGTCATTTGGCCAAATCCACTGAGGATTTTAGAGAGGAGCTTTAAGGGAATTGGATTCCTCTCTTCTCTATTTCCCAAAGGCCTTGCCCCAGTGGCTTTGTGCCAGCAGAGTGAAGTGAAAAACCAAAAATGCTGAAACCACATGATTTTTTTTTCTTTTTTTTAAATTTCAGTTTATCCACAGGGATCTGGCTGCCAGGAACATTTTAGTTGGTGAAAACTACGTAGCCAAAATAGCAGATTTTGGATTGTCCCGAGGTCAAGAAGTATATGTGAAAAAGACAATGGTAAGTTCAGAATGCAGACACTGAGAACATCGTCCCCAGGGTACCCTCCTTCTCCCGATGGTGATGGCGCTTCTCTTGGGATGCCATTGTTCTTTGGTGACTCAGGTACCTGGCTGTGTACCCCAGTAGAGAGTGCCCTGGCCCAGCAAATATCTTCTCTGAGGTTTGATTTCTAACATGACTGAGGGCTCCGTATTTGCCGCTGTCACGTGTGGCCAAGGGATTGAACACGCAGGCCTTATGGTACAGCGGTTGGGCCTCCATCCAAGCAGGACCCCTAAGTGTCTTACTCAGAAACCTCTAAGGAGCTCCCTCAAACCCCTTTCATGCACAGCAAGCATAGGAGGGGCGAAAAAGACGTTTAACATAATTTCCAAATGTAAAGGAAGGAAATTAATGAGGTTCCTACCTCACAAAGAGGCCCTATAGAGAAATCCCTAACTTGTAAGGCCCATAGAAGTTAGAACTCTTTATCAAAAGTTCTCCACTGCCTCTCCAAGCCCCCATCAAATTCACATTCACCTGATGACCCCTCCTGTCCCAAACAGTGATATTTAATCTTCAAGTACAAGATCCCAGGAGAACCTGGCCACAGAAGGAGAAAAGCTGGACTCCGGCAACTTTTGGTGCCCGCCATACCTCCCTGGAAATGCCCCTTCCGGGGATGTGATGACAACATAGCGCCGCCCTCTGCTTTCCTGGGGCGGCCGGCATGTGCAGGGCCTTGGGGCTGACACTTCCTGTATCATCACATGTGTTTGGTGGCTCTACCCAGTGGTTATGGCTCCCCCTTTCCTAGGTCTGGTGGACATTACTTGGGCTCAGCTTTCCTGGGACCGCTGCGGTTTTCACATGGTCCTTTTGCTTTTGTGGGGAACACGTTGCCTCAGCAAGGCTCAGGCTTCTCTGGTGATCTTCTTTTTCAGGTTCTTTTTAAAAAAATATTTTAGTTACTGACAAGATAACAAAAACAATATTCAAGAATGTTTCAAAAAGGAAATGACCCAGGGTTCACTACCTTAACACATTTTATTTTTCATTTTTTACTTCGTGCCTTGCACATACATATTTTTATATAGTTACTATCATAGTGAACATAACTATTTTAGAGCTTTCCAGTTGCCTTTCGGATAACACATCCAGTGAGGCCTTGGATGCTTACCAACAGCAACACTTCTAGAAGTCTTGGGCGCCTCCCTGAGGGTTGACTCCCATGCATGCAATACGGATTTCTCTAAGCTTTCCTGAATTTGCCTGACTCAAAGCGCATGTATCTCTGCATAGGGGCGGGGCTTGTCTTAAAGAAGCAGGACCCACCACTCACCCATTTACTCCTCCTCCTGGGCCACCTGAGGCTTGCTATCTCCTTCACAGAGTCCTTTTCCTTGCTTCTCTCTGGTGTTTGGGGGCTGTGGGGCCCTGAGTGAGGGTGTGGAGGCACTGACACAGTTTAGCCCTATAATCTACATATTTCATTTGGATATTGTCCTCAGATCCCCAGGGAGAATGCTGGTTTGCTTGGCATTTCATAAAGGGCAGTTATTTCTGCAGTCTTAGAGAGCTTAAGAGGAATGCTTAGAGAAGCAGAGCACTTAGATGGGTCAGAACTTAACTGTGTCTGTTGGATGTGGCTGGGAGAAGTGTCCTGTAGCGGCATGGGGTCTGGGAGGAAAGACCTTGGCCCATAGGCACAGGAAAGAAGAGGGAATGAAGAGAAAGAAGCAAGCTCCCTTTAAGAGGGGTGTGCAGTGTAGCATGTTACCACCAGGGGGCAGAGTGGTTACCGTCTCTGGACTATTGTTTAAATCCGAGATTTTCCATTCCAGTTCCACCTCAGAATCATCTGGGGAGCTTTCAAAAAATACAGATGTTGAGTCCTACTGCTTAAATACTATATACATACTTATATACTATGATTCAGTTATCCTTGGGTGGGGCTCCTACATCAGTTTTTATACATGAGTGTGTGTTTTTAAGCCTCCTGGGTGAGGCTAATATTGGAAGTGTTGCAAACTAAAGTACTAAGTGATTTGGGGCCTTATTATTATTGATAGATGCATCGCATCATCATCAGTGTCTTTATGACTATAGTGTTTCATGCCTGTGCTAGGTTTGGGGGTAACATAAATTGGGACAATCTCCACCTTTAAAGAGCTCAGACGCATAATGAACAACAGTTGATTAATAATGAAAAACAGTTGATTAATAATAAGTAACAGTTGGTAAGTGCTGAGGGCAAGGAGAGCACAGAGGAGGAATGCACATGGAGACACAGAGGAAGCACACTGAACTGAGCCTGTGGGCAATCATGAGGGGCTCCCTAGAGGAGGCTAACTCTTGTGTTTTACAAAAGTTAAATAGATATTGGAAAGATGAGAATGAATTTGAGGGTGCAGTACATGTAAAAGCCTAGAAACAAAGGAAAGTATGAAACATTTGGGGGACAAGTAATTCAATATGGCTGGAGTAAAATACAGAAAAGAGTGAGAATTAAAAATTCAAGATGGGAAGAGGAAATAGAGATAAGGTCTTTTTTTTAAGTTTATTTTTGAGAGGGGGGAGAGAGAGAAGGGAAGAGGATCTGAAGCAGGCTCTACACTGATAACCGTGAGCTCTATGTGGAGCCAGGACCCATGAGATCATGACCTGAGCTGAAGTTGAACATTTAGCTAACTGAGCCAACCCTGTGCCCCACAGGGATAAGGTTTTCTTGAAGATTATTGAATTCCAACTAAAAATGTTGGACTCAGTTAAGGACTTGAGATCTTGGGACAATAAAGACATTGAAGAACTTTTTTTTTTTTAATGTTCTTTATTTATTTCTAGGAGAGAGAGACACAGCGTGAGCAGGGGAGGGTCAGAGAGAGAGGGAGTCGCAGACCGAAACAGGCTCCAGGCTCTGAGCTGGCAGTCAGCACAGAGCCCGACGCGGGGCTCGAACCCACGAACCGCAAGATCATGACCTAAGCGAAAGTCGGACGCTTAACCGACTAAGCCACCCAGGCGCCCCAAGACATTGAAGAACTTTTAACAAAAAGAAGCCACATGTGTGGATCTGTCATTGTGAGCCATTAGTCTGGCTGTGGTGCGGAGAACTGATCCTTAGGGACTGAAACTCTGAGCAACAAGATCAGTTAAGAGGTTGTCATCAGGTAACAGTTGCTGGTGGCCTGAACCCAGGTGAGGGAGCAAGAGGGACAGATGGAAATGGACACATCCAAAAGAAGTGAAATGAGAATAATAAAACAGTGCACATGGGAATAAGTAATTTGGAGGCATGAGCTCAGAAGCTAGCAGATACACAAAAACAAAGACAAGACAGAAAATGTCGAAGACTCTTCCCATTCCTGTGGAGGGGAAAAAGCTAGAATGAGCAGGTGTGCAGTGGGGTGAAGTGGGCATGGAGTGAATATCGGGGATCACACTGATGATGAAGGCTTGTGAAGAGGTAGTTTTATAACTGAACCTTCATGTACCAATTGGGAGTTATGGTTAGAATGAGCTTCAGAATATCTCTGCTTCACAAAGACCTAGGAGACAATCAGACCTTCAGGAGTAGTTTTGGGGTTGAGGGCATGGCTGATCTCAAGATGGGGGGTATGGGAGAATGCCTGCTCCTGTTTCAGGGGTGGCTGAGAAGACCCCCAAATACTCTTGATGTTGCCCCATCTCTTGGCTGCTGTGGGCTGAAATGCCACTGTTAGAGCTTGGACAATTCCCTGGGAGGAAGGCATTCATCTCTCAGCAGGGCTTCTATGATTCCTGGGGTGGGTTGATGGGAAGGGAGCCCAAAATCACAGGAAAACTAGGAATAAAACTTAGAAGCTAAACTTCCCAATGTCCAGTCCACATTGATTTTTCCCCAGGCTGGACTTAAATGAGGACAACCTTGGGGCACCCGGGTGGCTCGGTCAGTTGAGCGTCTGACTTCGGCTCAGGTCGTGATCTTACAGTCTGTGACTTTGAGCCCTGCATTAGGCTCTGTACTGACAGCTCAGAGCCTGGAGCTTGCTTTGGAATCTGTGTCTCCCACTCTCTGCGCCCACCCCCACCCTCCCCACACATTCTGTCTCTCAAAAATGAATAAACACTAAAAAAAAAAAAAAATGGAGACAACCTGGATGGAGGCAGGGCTGGGCCCCCAAAGGGCAAATGAGTGTGTCTCATCCTGTCTTCAAACCTGGTGTAACTGCATTGATTGGAGGTTATTTCCTTCTCCACTAACGGTATGCACATGGTTCCCTTTGGTCTGAAATGCTCTTCTCTCCCCGACCCACTTGAGGACACCTATACATATAGAACCGAGCTCATGTGTCTCTTTGTCTGAAAATCCTCCCCATCTCTTCCAGCCTCAGTTGGCCACATCACGTCACCTGAGCTTTCCCCACATTACAGTTTAATTCTCGGTTTTTCTGCCTCTCTACGCTTTCAGATCTCTGAGTGCCTCTGAGAGCCACAAAGTAAATCATTGAAATGCCTACGAAAAATGCACACACACGCACGCGCACACACACACACACACACAATTTTTCTTTATACAAAACTGTGGTAGGGATTCCTTGAGGTTAACAGGGCTTATACTGCTTGCACGTCTTTGGATTAGAGAACACTCGTGTGTGGGACATACACAAACAGCAGCTCCTGACTGTGTCGTACCTTATGTGTAGGGAATTGCACACGCAGTTCCCTGTGGGCTTGAGTGAACCACAGCTCCGGGTAAGCTGTGCGCCTGGGGAAGGGTCCCTGTCATGCTTAAATGGCTTCTCACTTTGTTCTCTCCAGGGAAGGCTCCCAGTGCGTTGGATGGCAATCGAGTCACTAAATTACAGTGTGTATACAACCAACAGTGATGTGTGAGTAAGCCTTTTACTGTTGAGGGATTTTTTTTTTCTTCTATAAAAGTAAGCATCTGACAGAGGTCTTAAAGCAAAGCAGGACTATTATGTCCATCTGTGGAATACAGGTAGTCAGCAAGTCCAGGAAATAAATCTGGAGTCTACAAAACGAAGCCTCAGAGTAGACTGTGTTCAGGGTGTTATGTAAGATCACTGGTGACAGGCTGTGCGTTTCCTTTTGTCAAGGAGAAGTGGTGAGTTCTCTATCTCCAGAAGGGCAAAGGGCATACGGAGCTTTCCTGTGGCTCCACTTCCCAGACCGATCTCAGCATACAGGACCCAGAACAGCGGAAGGCAATTCACAATAGCCGCTGGGGGGTCAGACGTGGCTCCGGCAAAAGGCCAGATCAAGGGACCATGTCTACTCACAGCCAATAGAGTCAAGTCTCAGGCTGGTGGTGAAGGGAGGGCTGGGAGTGAGACTTAGGCCATCTTGTCCCTGCCTCCATTGATGAGGGGAAACACTGAGGCCCGGAGGCTTGAGGTGACATGTCCAGGGAGTTTAGCTTGTTCTGGGGGAAGGGCGGGGGCTGGCAAATACTTTTGTATGTTCTCTTCCATCATCTCTGCATAACTTGGAGGCGGCAATTGGTGTTCCCACTTTCAGAAGACACCAAGAGGCCTCAAGAGGTTCAGTAACTTGTCCCAGGTCACACGAGTACCAGGTGGCAGAGCTGGGATTTAACTCCAGTCTGTCAGCTTAGAACTGCACCTGCTTTCTCCAGTATAGCTTGTGTTCCCCACCTACAGTGAGTGGGGGCTCTGACACCATTTCTCTGTTATGATCCTTTCCTTGGCCTAAGAGGAGATAAACACAGGCCACGTACAAGGCCCTTTCCGGGGGAGCACATATTTAACATTTTCTTTTCTGGCAAAGCATCAGTCACCCTGATTTTTGAGGCAAAAGATTGACTGGTCGCCTGTTTGCTGATTATTGGTTTCCGTACTGTGTCTCCTACAGATGGTCCTACGGAGTGTTACTATGGGAGATTGTTAGCCTAGGTGAGTATCCATGTCTGTCTACCAGGTAGGACTCCAGGCAATGAGAGAGGAGCCCTCCCATGCTCCCTCACTGTGGGATTCCATGGGTGCCATTTTTCTGGGGCACCGCTAGATGGGACTGGGAGATAGAACCTGATGGGTTTCTATGTAGGAGTGTGTTTGTTTATTCCCATGTTTCTCTTTTTGAGAGTCCTGTGTCTCATGTCATATTTAATACTAACAACCTGGTAGCCGTGAACTTCATTATAGGTTGTCTCTGTACAGAAATGTCCCAGAATGTTTAAAAGTTCACTTCTACAACTTTAAGATGGTATGTTACACAGCCATGAAAAGTGGTTTCTTAATAGTTTATTGTTAAGTTGGTTTCCATATAACACCCAGAGCTCATCCCCACAAACGCCCCCTTCCATTCGCGTCACCCCCCTTCCCCTCCCCCCCACACCCATCAGTCCTCAGTTTGTTCTCAGCATTCAAGAGGCAAACCATGAGAGACTCTTGAATGAAAAGTGATTTTTGGAGACCATTTAATATCACGTGAAAACATGCATGCCCACACCCAGACATTTCCTTATGCTGTGATCCCACTTTATACGTGTTATATGTGTTACACATGAACTGTGTAACACAAGAAGAACCTGGAAGGACCCCGCAGGAGAGCAATACAAATGTTGTTGCTTTCTTCATTTTTTTTTGTATTTTCCAAGTTTTCCATAAACATGTACATTTTAGAATTAAAATTATAGTACCAATTATAGATAAAATAGGAATTGCATAAACCTGGCTGTGGACTTCAAAATAGGAAAAAGATACATCCCATTAGTAGAGGAGGCAGTTGGGTGCAAGCAGACTCCAGGAAGAGAAATAGCACTGGAAGCAAGAAGCCCTCTTCTGGATCTGTCCACTGATAGAATGGCCATTTGCTGTTTGGGGCGTATGTCCAGCTGTGATGTGTGGTGGGTTTTCTCAAAGGGAAAGATCACGCTGGGTGTGCATCCTCTCTTGACATACCCTCTCTCCTGGTCTCTCGGCTCAAGAGGCCTGGGGCAGGGGACACTGTGCTCACCAGAGGGGCTCAGAGCAACCCGGTTTCCTGTCTTCCAGGTGGTACCCCCTACTGCGGGATGACATGCGCAGAGCTGTACGAGAAGCTGCCCCAAGGCTACAGACTGGAGAAGCCTCTGAACTGTGATGACGAGGTGTAAGTCAGCATGCACCCTGGGGCCATGTAAAAAATGACTATTCAGGGGCGCCTGGGTGCTTAGTCCGTTAAGTGTCCAACTTCAGCTCAGGTAGTGATCTCACGGCTTGTGGGTTTGAGCCCTGCATCAGGCTCTGTGCTGAGGGCTCAGAGTCTGGAGCCTGCTTTGGATTCTGTCTCCCGCTCTCTGCACCTCCCCTGTTTGCACTGTCTCTCTCAAAAAGAAAGAAACATTAAAAAAATTAAAAAGTCTATTTTGGGGGGGGGGTGCAGAGAGAGAGGGAGAGAAAAACCAAGCAGGCTCCACACTGTTAGTGCACAGCCTGACATGGGGCTCGATCTCACAAACTGTGAGATCATGACCTGAGCCAAAATTGAGTCACTTAACTGAACAAGCAACCCAGGCACCCCACACCCTAGGGCCACTATATCTTAACCTTCCCCGGTGTGTTTCTTGGACAGACTGACTCTAATGAAGGGGTTACCTGATTCATACACACATGCATGTATGTATAGCTATATATGCACACACGAGATCCTAAATACCCACACTCCCCCCTCAAAAAGAAGGGGAGTTCTTTAAACTAACACTGTTCTGTAATAGGCAGGGAATTGAGTGCTTTCTAGGCACAGAATTCCAGGAGGAATTTAAGGTGATGATTATCAGGAAGGTTGAAATGAAAGGTAATGAATGCAGAAAAGATCTGAAACCAATTCATGAGATTATTCATGAATAAATGTATGAAACCTTGAGACTAACTTTGGGGACAGAGATTTTAAGGCTGTGACATTAGAAAGATAGATTTTTGCTGTTGTCACAGAATCTCTCTTCTGCAAGGATTATTTTCCAGGAGTAAAAGTTACACCTAGGGAAAGAATGATTAGTTTTTGTGAAACCACCATCAGCTCAAAACTGAGCTGATGCCTAACTGGCATGATGTGAAACCACAAGGCTCTAGGTTCAGCAAAGACTTTATTGTCCAAACATAGCCACTTATAAGAAAGAGTGCTATTAATTATGGAACTGGTACAAGAAGCCATAAACCTAGACCACACTTGGTTGATGGTCTTCTGTGCACATAAGGTTCCCCTGATGCATTTGTTCCCAGGGTGAAAATGTGAGCCCTACTCCCAGACATTGGTTCTGTAACCCTGGTGGTGCCAGGAACCTACATTTTAATAACACAAGTGGTTTTGACCACATTTGAGAGAGTGCAGTCTTAGACTGGGGCTTCCCAGACTGTGTTCATGCACATGCAAGAGATAAGTAAATGATAGAAGGGGGAAGAGTTCTGTGGTTGCCCTTGGGAAATTCTGTGTTAAGTCAGGTTAAACAGGTTTTTTGCTTTTAATGCTAGACTTCTCAGGATTTTACTCTGCTAATCCCTAAGAGGGAGATGCAATATGTGGCACTTTGCAAATTTATTAGAGCATAGAACCATTTTTTAAATGAAATAACTAACATTTTGAGAGAGAGAGTATTCCAAGGGGCATGCTGCCCTAAACACATAATTCTTTCCAGATAATCAGAAGAGCTGAGACCAAGATCCTGCAGGAATGGTACTCAGGGGAGGCACTACATTTTTGGCAGAAGAAAAGGGGACTTGAGGGAGGTGGGAGGCCAGATAGAACTCAGTGCTGTACTCTGTGCTGCCAGTTAAGCGTAATAACCATGTGTTGAAAGGCTTTTTTTTCCCCCATACCCCACACCAGGCCCTGCCGAGGACTGAAGTAATAGAGTTAACTGCTTAACTCTTTGTTTCCACAGGTATGATCTAATGAGACAGTGCTGGCGGGAGAAGCCTTATGAGAGGCCATCATTTGCCCAGATATTGGTGTCCTTAAACAGGATGTTAGAAGAACGCAAGGTAAGCATGGGGTTCAGGGCAGGCTCTTGAGTCAGAATTCCTCATGTGCTCTGTATGGTTAAAAAAAAATGGCTGATAGATGTCAACAAGTGCTTCTGGGCAGAGCCCTTGGTATTAGAGGGACGTAAAAGACGTGGCCCTTAACTTTGAGCAAGTTACAATTTCAAAGGTAGTAAGATTTCTGTACAAGATAGGCGCATGTGGTAGAACAGATAGAATTAACCTGGGAGCGAGAAGGCACCTCAACGGTAACTCAGCCTGACCCTTCAATGTTGTAGAAGAAATATGCACAAAGAGGTGAAAGTGATGTGTCCAAGGACATACAGCCAGTAGCAGAGCCTAGTGTGCAGGTTCCTATGGGCGAGGAGCAGAAATTCTATAAAAATGTCCAGCAATTGGTTGGTTATACTGATTTGAGGCTGAAAAGACAAGTCTAGGGTGCCTCACTCAGTTAAGCGTCTGGCTTCGGCTCAGGTCATGATCTCACGGTTCGTGGGTTTGAGCTTTGCATTGGGCTCTGTGCTAACAGCTAGCTCAAAGCCTGGAGCCTGTTTCAGATTCTGTATCTCCCGCTCTCTCTCACCCTCCCCTGCTCACACTGTCTCTTTCTCTCTTAGAAATAAATAAAACATTTAAAAAAAAAAAAGACAAGTCTAGGTTAGGGAGACAGATTTCAAGTCACCCAAACCCAAGTGGTATTTAAACCAGAGATGTGTGGGGAGGTCACCCACAGGGAGATGGGGGCAGAGGAAGGAGCTAAGAGAATGGGATGTCTCAGGAGGGACCACGAAGAGGCAGCAAAGAGTGGCCTGGGGACAGAGAGAGAGAGAGGGTGAAATCTTACCTGCTGAGGTCGAGGGATGCAGTTCAGGAATCAAGTTGTCAAATATACATGGGACCTGAGGACAGAAAGAAGTCCCCCAGGTACCTACTCCTTGAAACACGTTAAGGGATCTGGGTATGACTGTAAGTGCCACGTGTGGAGGCAGTACCGGAGGAGCCAGTGTCTCTGACCCACTCTTGCTCTTGTAGACTTACGTGAACACCACGCTTTATGAGAAGTTTGCCTACGCAGGGATCGACTGCTCTGCTGAGGAAGCAGCCTAGAACCAACCCTACCGGTATACCAGACCCGTGATGCCAAGAAAGCAAGACTGTGGCAAGAGAGGTGACCTAGAACCTAAACATGTATATATATTGCTGTATGTCTGGGACTTTACCACAGAAACCCCTGTGTGTGAATCTATAGTACACTTTGACTCTTATAGGACTGTATATACTGTTTTGAATAAGAATGTGCTGAAATCAGAGTGCCTGTTTGTGGTTTCATATGCAATAATATATTTTTCTAAAAATATGGACTTTACAGGAAGGTGTGTGAGTACAATTACTATAATGCATAACTCATTATCATTCTAGGTATTTTTGCTATTTACCTTCATACTGAATGCTGTAAATGTTTGGCTCTGTAGAAGAAAGACCTTGTTAGTAAACCTAACACCAGCCCTGATAGCCCAGGGAAGAAAAGTGGTGGAAATACATTAGTTCTATCAGGATAGAGGTTAACATTTAAATGAGATCTTTCTGTCCATCGCTAAACTCTCTCCCTCATGTGTAGGAGCCATCCCACTTTTACTTGGTCATTTTTCAACTTTGTCATGTGTTTCCAGACCCCACAAGTCAATCCAGAATGCTAACACCTAAAAGTAAGCTTCAATCTCATTCCGTATAAGTCTAAGAATCTTTAGAGAAATAGAAGTTTGATGAATCAATGAGATTTTGTTTCTCTGGTGACACGGATTTGTGTATTTTAAGAAATTGAAGTAAGAAGCCTGGAGTTCCATTTGGGAGACATGTGACATTTGTATCAACTGAACATCCCTACATGTATTGCACGTTGTAAAGTTTCAGTGTTGATCAGTTGTGAGTTTACAGCTTATATCGTAGGCACAAGTTGCACTGAGGTTATACAGTAAGTGAATAAATGTCTTGCCTACCCACTTTTCGTCCAGTAATGTTTCTCATAGGTATGACAAACGTCTTTATTATACTTTAGAGTTACCATCCTCGAACTTGCAAGATCCACATAGAGCAGCAGGTGGGTATTCTGCCAGACAGGGGATCTCAGGCTCCCAGGATTGGAAACATCTAGAAGTGTTCTGTCTAGTCCATTTTCTTGCACCAGAACCATATACCTCCAACTGAGGGTGTAGAAGCTGTTGCAGTGCTGAATAGTTCAACCCACAGCATAAAGTTCCATATTCCTGCCACTTAATCTACCTTATATATTTAGAAATGATAGCCTTCAACAGTTTCAAAAATGAAGTTTTCATCAGAGCATATTCAAGCAGTCAGGAAAAGCCAGGCTGCTAGCATACCATGAATCAACTAATGTACAAACCTCAACTGAAAAGCCCTTAAAAATGGGTTCAAATAGTTTCTTTTGCTTCTTACCCAAATGCTGTAGAGATACTCCTGACAGCTCCTAGTTTGAATGTACAGTACGTGTATGTGAACCAGAATAAGGATGATCTAAAATGCAAATAAGATATTCAAGTTTTGCATATGACTTTGGAACAAACGTTATGGTTCCTTTTCCCCCTGTAATAGTTTGACCTTCTTAATTCAAATTTCGATCACTATGAATTTAAGTGATATATAATTATTTCACATCAAGTACATGACAAGAGACATGGCTAAGAAGTACTTGGGATAGTAAGAAAAAAGATATTCAGTGATACTTAAAATTTATTTATAACTCAAAATGCCAAGGTAGCAAACCTGAAGTATGTTTGAAGCCCTCAATCATCACAGGCAACTGATGTCCTTCTGGCACCGAGGCCTCCATAGTAAGTACTCTGACGCACCTGTACCATTGGCAAAGAAACCTTTGTAGCATTTTAGCAACATTAATATTGAAGGTTCATACTTAGTCATACAGTTTCCACCTTCTCGGAAAGGAAGAGCTAACTCCTTAAGGAATTAAAAACAATCCCAGTATTAGGAACACAGGTTAGGATGTGGTGTCTTTGGAAGATCCACAGGACACTGCCTTAGAAACATAAACAGTTATGAATTAAAATCAGACATCACACCAGTTAGAATAAGAACACATTACGCAATAGCCAAATAATCTTTGTTAACAGACACTGAAAAGTTTACATTTACTTCATAAGGAAAACCTGTTGTACTTACATAGAAGAGACCTTAAAAAAAAAACAAAAAAAAAACTCTGTGTAGTACATGAAGATGGTTTTAGGTATTTAGAGAGAAAAAGAAATGTACGCAATCTGAGACATGACCTCTATGGAAGTCACAGACTCACTGCTTCAACTTAAAACCACTTTCCATTGTTACACACCATCAATGAAGAGGAGCCAAACATTCAAACATAAAGAACTTTAATTCCTCCCCATTAACCATTCTCCCCACAGTAGTCATAACTTGAGAAATAAACTTGGAAATTTAGCCTTTAAAATGTAATAAATAAACCTCAACAGCACTTTTATTTCTCCTCTTGGAAGAAAAAGGTCAAGAAAACTCATGCCGTCGTAGACCAAATTGTAGTGCCAGAAGCAGAGGCCAGAGGGGTCACTGACACAACAAGGCAGGGACTGAAGATCTTCTCAGGCGAAGTGATTACTTCTTTCCTTTCAGGTCATCTCTAACCTTCCAGAGGACCAGTTCCATGCAGGCAACTGCACTGTCAATTGAATTGTGACCTCCCAATAGCACAGAATATAAAACAATGTGTTAGCCACTGTATACATGATATTACCCACAGCTATTCTCAAAACAAAGACTTGAGTTAATGTTTATAAAAAATTAACACTGGTCACTTAGCAAAATAGGATTTTGTTTGCTTTGTAAATTCTGTACCTAAGTCTAGATTACCAAACATTTCCCTTTTCCTATGGAGCCTGTCCTCACATGGTCACTACCTTGCTGTGCCTAGGTAGCACATTGTTACCTTCTCTATGTACCTCTTTTCCAGAGAGAGAGAACAACAAAGTGGCAGGTATTACTAAAAGAGATCTGGTAAGAAGCCAAAGACAGAGTATATGAGGCAAAGTATAACTGTCTACACAAAGAATGACCTTAGATACAAGATTACATGATTTAATTTACCCAGAATATAAAGCCTATAGTGCTGATGAGAATCATAAATGTATGAGATTAAATGAGAAAAATCATATCAGCACTTCGAAACTGTTGGCTGTGTTTTCATTTGTGTTATTCTGAAAAAACAAAACATGGTATCTGTATGTTTATATGAGCTATTTTTTGTTATGTGTAATATTTTCATGTCTAAGGCTCAAGATGGATTGCAATAGAACATGTTTTATAATAGAATTTTGTAGGAGCTCTTTGAGATGTGTTTTTAACAAAGCAGATAAAGTACAGACCCACTTGGAGATAGTGTCTAACAAAGAATGAAAGAATAACGACCATAGGGGTACGATCTGTATTTTGCACAATTCATGACAGTATCAGAAGTGCTTCCTATATCTTAGCTATCTTTAGAAACATAGCATGGTAACAAATTTTAACATGCTCAGAATTAATTTTCTTAGACTTCTGTATTGTACAAAAGAGGAGCCGATATGGGCATGAATGTATTGAGTAACCGGCCTCCATTTCAAGTCATACACTGCTCAACTGTGCATATGGCGATGCCACTAACAAGGTAGGTGGCAGCTACACTTGTACTTGATTAACTTGTTTAATATTGGGTGTATTTTATCAGCAAAACCAGAAAATGTTCTTGTTCCGTGAGCAAGATACACTAATTCAGTGTAATTCAGATGCACATATAATGCATCTCTTGAACTTGAACTATACTTCTAACAACACACCATTTACTCTGGGTGAGATAACCTGAACCCAATGAATTTTATAATCTCATTTAATGAAAAGCCCATATGAAAAGAGGTACATAGCAAAATTTAGGATAGAATTAGACCTCCACACCAAAAGAAGTTTTAGACATGAATTCAAAGGCCAGGAAACTTGCCCAACAATTTCTGGCCATTATTCTCTGTGTAATTGCTATTTTGATGCCTGTGGAAGATCCAGGACTATACCAGGCAGTGGGCACTGGCATGTGGGACTTTTTACATGCTTTCACATAAACAGGTGCACGTCTCTCTACTCTAGGAGAGAATCCATGAAGAGCCTATCTTAAGCATTTCAGAGAGCCCAACTTTTACCATCAATCACATGATTTGTTTACTCAAGTCAGACTTAGGGTCCTGATAATAATCATTAACCAACAGGCTCTTTCTTACCATCATCCTGAATGATTCTCTGCAGATAGTCAGCCACTAGACTCTTAAGGGATCTTTTGTGAGGCAAGCCTAGCCGATGAGGAAACATAACTGTCGTGTCCACAACTGAAGAATGAATTAACTGTCAAATGGAAGAGAAAATTCTATCAGAAGTTCTTCCCAAAGAATAACCATATAGATAGCAGCAACAATAATGGTAGCAGCCGAGTTATGCTACAAAAGCAAATAACATGAAGCAGTTATGATGTAACAGTGACTAAGCACTCTACATGGGATATCCATTAAAACTTGCAGAGTAACCTAATGAGGTAGATCTTCTATTGTCCCCCCCCCCTTTTTTTTTACAGTCAAGAAAACTGCAGCTGTGAAAGATTAAGAGAGGAGTTAGTAATATGGAACCCAGAAATCAAATCCAAGACTTTGGGATCCACTTTCCTACTGTGAGAGTACCACCAGGGGGCAGCATGAGAACAGAGAGGTTCCATCAAAGACGGGGTAGACACAAAACCATGCTCCTCCACTGTGGGACTTAGCTGAGGCGGGCACACCTCAACTAAGCACATGTCCTACCACAGATTAGTGATTTGCTTGTCTGTGTTCAGGGAGGGGCCAGGGACAAGGACTTGGTCCTGTCTAGCTCCAAATTTCCTGTGTTTATACCTGTAAGATGATGAATAGATTTTTCAAGAGTTTGATAAAGGAGAAAATACAATAGATAAGGAGCAGTCATCTAACAGCCTAGAAAGTTAGGTGCCAGTTTGGGTTCATTAGGAGAGCTATATTTTTGAAAGGTGCATGGAAGAAGATTAGTCTCAAGACCAATTTAAGGGGTGCCTGGGTGGCTCAGTCAGTTAAGTATCCGACTTCAGCTCAGATCGTGATCTCATGAATGGTGAGGTTCAAGCCCCACATTGGGCTCTGTGCTGACAGCTCAGAGCCTGGAGCCTGTTTTGGATTCTGTGTCTCCCTCTCTCTCTGTCCCTCCCCAACTTGTGCTCTGTCTCTGTCTCTCTCAAAAAAAACCACAAAAGAGCAATTTAAAGATTCATTGAAAACTGAGGAATTGGAAATTTAACGTTTAGCACCTAGTAAGTCATTATCTAGAAGCACTTTAAATTCTCCTTTAATGTGTCAACTCCCAAGGAGACACCAGTTCCTGGATGCAGAGTATCAAGTAAATAAAAGAAGGTGGTGGAGGAAATAGAGATAAGCAGGAAAATCCAGGGGTTATCTGGACAGAAGAAACAGACTGAACACAATGAGGAAACGCGGTGGCTGGAAATTGTCTGGTCTGGGAGTCAGGTGCAATAGAATGGCTCCTGAGCAGTTTGAGGGGTGAGGCCTCGGAGGTGATGGAAGGACATTCCTGGGAAGAGCTTTCTTATAGAAAACTTAGTCCCCACCTCTCTTTCCACACAGTTTGGCAGGGTCTGGGTGGAAGCGCATTCCAGTCTTACCTGTCAATTGCAGAGACAAAAATGCTATTTGAAACAAATATCTATTCTTTGAATACCAGCTTACATAGAAAAAGGCTGACATTCACCTATGAAATGTAAATGGCCTTAATTGTCTTCTTCCACTAAAAAAGAACTAACCCTTTTTTTGCATGAAGGTAGGTCCTAGCGTGGCTGAAACGAATCATCAGCAAAGGTCTCCCAAGGTTTAGAGCTGTGCTGTGCACTGTGGTAAGCTACCAGCCACATGCCACAAAAAGTGAACATGACATTTGATCTTGAGCCTAGCTATAAACATATCTGACTTAATACGAAAAAGTATCTCTAAGGATGTGAATAAAATAACCTGTTATATAAACTCAGTCTTCCCCACTTGAGTATTAAAGACAGTGATTAAAGAGGATGTCAAACAATGATTTTGGTTTTATCATAATCAATGGACTTTCTGATCTGGATGAACCAAATGACTTTAGCTGTCTTACACTGTAGCTTCTGGTTTATAATAGTTGGACAATATTATCAACATGGACAGCAATTCTTTTCATCTTAATGGGGAAAACCAACGATCAGTAAGAATAATGATAAGGACTACCATCTCAGCACATACGGTTTTGTAAAAGCACAGATCTGTATTTCTTTACCTTAAGAGCATAAAGACTGTGTTCAAAGCTGTGTCCAATTAGGACAGTGTCAGCACTGAACAGGTTCAACAGGACGGCTTGGACATCACGGATGGAAGTTTTGATGTTCTTGAGGTCCTTTTCGACCACACCAGAAAACCTGCCCCAGTAAGAGACATAATTCATTTAAGAAGGTAACTTAGGGGATTTCATCAGTTACAGTTAAAATACATTACTGACCCAATGTGACAAATACTCACTGAACAAAACAAAGATCTGACTTATGACCATCAGATGCCCCTTTACTAGGTTATATTTGTAACCTAGTAAAATTTATAATATGGATTAATTTATGTAAGGCTGGGAAAGCAGAAGAAATTCCAAATTCACAGGGTTCCTTTGAACTCTCCTCTTTGTAGAAGGTGTTTTATCCATTACAATTTAGTTAAGTAGCCTATCTCCCATTAAAGTAAGCCTAAAACAGCCACTCTGGAAAACAGTATGGAGGTTCCTCAAAAAAATTAAAAGTAGAAATACCATATGATCCAATAAATTCCACTAATGGTTAGTTACCCACAGAAACAACCAAAAACACTAATTTAAGAAGATATATACACCCCTATGTTTATTATAGCATTATCTACAATAGCCAAGACATGGAAGCAATATAGGTATCCAATGATAGATGGATAAAGAAGATGTGGTACCCTCACCAGGAATACTATGAAGCATTAAAGAATGGGATCCTGCTATATGTGACAACATTGATGGACTTAGAGGATGTTATGCTAAATAAAATAAGTCAGACTGAGATTTCACTCATATGTGGCATCTAAAAAACAATCAAAACCCAGGATCAGACCAAACTGATGGTTGCCAGAGGAAAGGGGGACAGGAGGATGAGCAAAATGGTCAGAGGGGAATGGGAGAAACAGACTTGTACTTATGGAATGAATAAATCATGGAGATGAAAAGTACAGCAAAGGGAATAGAGTCAGTGATATTGTAATAGCATTGTATGGTGATGGTAGCTACGCTTGTGAGCACAGTATAACATACAGACATGTTGAATCACAGTGTTTTACACCTGAAGCTAATGTAACATTGCATGTCAGATATGCTCAAAGAATAAAAATATAAAGCCTATAGATGAAATATGGGTAGCATGGGAGAGAAAATGGAGCCCTAGGCAAACTCTAGATAACCTAGGTTTGAATTAGGCTATGATTCTGCCATTTGCTTACTCTATAGATTCTCAGAAAATTACTTAATTTTCTTGTCTCAGTCTTATCTGTAGAGTCATTTACCAATCTTAATGGCTTATAAGGATCCAATGAAATACATGCAGAAAAACTATTCTAGTGCCTTTCATGAAGCACATTCTAGATACCTGACCAGAAATATGGCTACTGCTATGCTGTACTGCAATTTAGGAGAAAAACGAGTGATAAAAATACTGGGAAGACATTTTCGACTTAAATTTCATATGGATATTATTGTCTCCCATCAAAAACAAAACATACCTGGCTCCACTTTTATTTAACATAGAATTGGCCATTTTAGCTAGAGCAATGAGGCAGGAAAAAGTAGTAAAGGGCATCCAAATTGGAAAGGAATAAGTTATAAACTGTCACTATTTGCAGATGACATATTTTCTATATAGAAAATCTAGACTCCACAAAAAAATTGCCAGAATAAATGAGTTCAGTAAATTTGCAGGCTACAAAAATCTGTTGCATTTTTATACACTAACAATAAAATTTCATAAAGAAAATCCCATTTATAAGCATCAGAAAGAATAAAATATCTAGGAATAAATTTAGTCCAGGAGGTAAAAGACCTGTACACTGAAAACTAAGACACTGATGAAAGAAACTGAATAGAACAACAGTAAATGGAAAGGTATTCCATGCTCATGGATTGGAAGAATATTGTTAGTATTTCCATATTACCCAAAGCAGTTGACAGATTCAGTGCAATCCCTATCAAAATTCCAATGACATTTTTCACAGAAATAGAACTGTAAAATTTTTATGGAACCACAAAAGGTCCAGAATAGATAAAGCAATCTTGAAAAAGAGCAACAAAGTTGGAGGCAATACACTTCCTGATTTCAAAGAGTATTACAAAGCTATAGTAATCAAAATGGTTTAGTACTGATATAAAGACAAATGCAGAGATCAATGGAACAGAATAGAGCCCAGAAATAAACCCATGTATATATAGTCAATAAATATATAACAAAAAAGGAATGAATAGCTAATGGAGAAAACGTAGTTTCTTCAATCAATGGTGCTGGGAAAACTGGACAGACACATGCAAAAGAATGAAAGTGGAGTATTCTCTTATATTCTACTCAAAAATTAACTCAAAAAAATTATCAACTAAGTCCAGCAACCACAAAACTAGAAAGAGAACAGGCAAAAAGCTCCATGACATTGGTTTTAGAATTTTTTTTGGATCTGATTTTGAAACCAATGGCAACAATAGCAAAAATAAACAAATGGGACTACATGAAACTAAAAAGCTTCTGTACAGTAATAGATACCATCAACAAAATAACATACTGAATGGGTTAAGGTACTGCAAATCATTTATCCAATAATGGATTAATAACCAACCAAGAAATAGAATTCATACAACTGACAAAAAAATCCCAAACAATCTAATTAAAAATGGGCAGAGGATCTAAATAGACATTTTTGCAAAGATATACAGATGGCCAATAGGACCTTGAAAAGATGTTCAATATCACTAATCATCAGGGAAATACAAATGAAAACCACCAGGAGATGTTGCCTCAGACTTATCAAAGATATAAATAACAAGTGTTGGCGAGGATGTAGAGAAAAGGGAACATTCATTCACTGTTGGTGGGAATATAAAGTGTGTGGCCACTATGAAAAATATGGAGCATCCTCAAAAAATTAAGAACAGAACTACCATATTATCCACTCATTACACTTCTAAGTATTTATCTGAAGAATATGAAAAGACATATGTACTCCAATGTTTACTGGAGCATTATTTTCAATACACAAGATATGGAAACAACCTAAGTATTCATTGATAGATTAACCGATAAGAAGATGTGGTGTGTGTATATATATACACACACACACACACACACACACATATACATATACATACAATGGAATACCACTTTGTTCTAAAAATGAATGAAATTGGGCCATCTGAGTGGCTCAGTCAGTTAAGCATCGAACTTCAGCTCAGGTCATGATTTTGTGGTGGGTTCGAGCCCCTTGTGGGGCTCTGTGCTGACAGCTCAGAGCCTGGAGCCTGCTTCAGATTCTATGTCTCCCTGTCTCTCTGCCTCTCCCTCACTCATGCTCTGTCTCTCTGTCTCTCTCAAGGATAAATGTTAAAATATTTTTTTTTAAAAAGAAGTGAAATCTTGCCATATGTGACAACATGGATGAACCTTGACGGTATTAGGCTAAGTGATATAAGTCAGAGAAAGACAAACACCATATGATTTCACTTATAAATGGACTCTAAAAGGCTTAACAAATGAACAAACAAAACTCAGAGATCAGAGCTGGTTTTCAGAGGGGAAGGTGGTAGGAAGTAGAAAAAATGGGTTGCAGAGATCAAGAGGTACACATTTCCACTAATAAAAAAAAAATCAAGGGGATGTAATATACAGCATGGGACTATAGACATTAATACTCTATTGTAAATTTGAAAGTTGCTACTAACAAAGTAAATCTTAAAAGTTCTGACAAGGTTTTTAAACTCTGGGTGGTGACAGATGGTAACTAGTTTTATTGTGGTAAACATTTCACATGTATAGAAATGACAAATCATGATGTTGTACACCTCAAACTGATAACATATGCGATTTATACTTGAATAGCTAAAAAAAGAAAAAAAAAGATACCTGGCTCCATCATCGAGCTTAAGGAATGTGATACATAATTAATCAAATATTTTGATTAAGAGGAAATTATCAAGGAGTACTTGGGTTTATTTTAAATCAGTTTTTTAAAAAATGCAAGGCATTGAATGCATTTGAAGTTGTTTTAAGAGTTCATAATTATTTAAAATGCCAATGCTTCAGTTATCATTGTATCACTATGAATATCAATAATTATCCAAGTATTTCCTGACCTGTTCCAAAAAGCAGTTAGGAAAGATTTCATAAAGCCATGGAAGAATAAGCACTGATAAAAGTTCAATAACTTTATTTTACCCTTTTATTTGCCAATATACCCCCAATAAAGCTGAAAAAAAAATCCAGTAAAATAGGGCTATTAGGATACGGCCAAAATAAGTAGGAAAAAAAATTCAGGGAGGTCAGGAGAAAGAGTAGTATACAGAATGTATTTTCTGATAATAACTTTTCCTGAGTTTTTATGCATACAACCGTTTTTTAATCAGCTGTGAGGGAGTTTATGTTAAAAAGTGTTTATTACAATTCTCTATAAATATTCTCAAAATTCATCATCAAAACAACTTTAATTTACATGACCACTTTGCTTTACTGTGTTCCAAAATGATAGACATATACACATTATATATGTACTTTATATACAATATATGAGTTTTTTTTACTATATACACTATTACAATTATGTATGCTATATATATTGTATATTATAGTATATATATACCATGTGATATATGTATGTGTATATACAAGTCATTTGTTTATATAGCTAAACAAATCATATATACATACACATATATAAATAAGTAATTTTAAGTAGTACTAGAGAATTTGTTAAGGAAAACTGAATAAATACAATCACACCAATAATGAACAGTTCTTATTCTAAAGTGAATTCAGATCAGTGCCTTCTATTTTATATTTAAATTTGCAAATATGTCATTTTATATGGCTTATAAGCCTTAGGAAAATCCAAATTTAATTGATTAATCATATAACTGTGGTTTCATAAGAGGTTTATAAAAATTAAAGGTACATCTATATACCATTTCAAGTTGGCACTGAGTTTGGGTCAGAAATAGGTCATACTTTAATAATAATGAGTATTAGGATAGAATCTGCACTGAACTATTAGTTTGTAAGCCATATCAAAGCCATGTATATTCAAGGACATGTTTACAAGATTGCAGACATTTTTATCTAATGACAATTTTTACCTAATGGAAGCAGATAACACGGTATTTTCAAAAGGAACTGATTAATGATTTAACAAATAAATAAAATCTATTAGCTATTTTTGCCTCTCTCACCTCCTACCTACAACTCCAACATGTCAACACCACGAGGGCTGAAACTCTGTTTCTTATTTAGGGTTGTAACCTGGGGTCTAACAGTGTCTGCATACTTTTAGCAAGGTACTTAATAGAATATGAATGTTTTTCAACAAATGAATTAAAGGATAATGGTGTAACTGATGCTGTAACACTGATTGAATACAAGTACAAGTAAAATGCACATAAAATACATGTTGAATGTTCTATGGTCTCAAAAACCAGCCCTTTTATATGACACATACCTAGTGTTATAGTCAATGACTTCTTCATCTGGTTTCACAAATGTAGCGTAGACCACCTGAAGGCTGGGATCAACCACTGTCACTTGAGTAAGTTCCAAACCTTTGGCTGTGTAGCACTATAAAGTGGGAAATATTAAACTTATAGGTCATATTGAGTAAACATGTTTTAACATCTAAGATATCTTTAAGGAGTATTTCTAACTAGAACATACAGTTTAATCATATTATTCAGATTTGCTAACAAAAGCTAGTCAGTGGGTCTGACAGTCTTGTAAATGATGTTCCAAGCTTTAAGTTTTTCCCTTAGTGTTAGTAATATTTTATTTCAGAAAATAATTTCATTTTCTGGGCTTAGTCTTTACAGTTGTTTTCATTAGAGATCAGTGATATCCAGGAGAGCCTTCTGTGATAATGAAAATGTTCTATTGCTATGCTAATACTACAGCCACTAGCCACAGGTGGCTACTGAGTATCTGAAATATGGCTCATGTGACTGGAAATATGATTGTCATTATATTGGCTAATGAAGTTATAAATCTTGAATGAAAAAAGAAAGTCTTTACCATAAATACCAATGCGGCATTGAAGAGCACAACATGGTAACATTTGACTTCGAAGCCTGAAGCAGCCTGAATTGTTTCCAGTTGAAGACCTAAGCTTGAAACTGAACAATGTCCTTCTACATTTATTGTAATTAAACTCTACAAATCTGCTTTCCAAATATACTACAGGGACTAAAAATTTTATATCTTGGTAGAGACAACTGTCCACATGATATTTGACACATCCCACATACATTCCCTTAGTGTGTCTGATTCTCACAGTTACTGTGGAGTGATTATTAGCCCCACACTTGACGGAGTAAAACATCCATTTCACTCGCTCAGGAGTGACAGCGTGGAAGCGGTGGAGCTTCCCAGGTCATACAATTCAGTTCTGTTTGTTCCCTACTTTTTCATATTGATTCTCAGATGAAGAAAAATCCCTATAAATATTTTGCTGCCTCTATAAACAATAGTTTTTGAAAATTCATTCAAGTTTTTATGCTGATTCTGGGGAGAACAGTACTATTTATAGCATTTTCTACCTGTATAATTTCAGTAATTTGAAGAGAAGCTGCACTACTGGTGATATATAAAGAAAAATTAATAAATGAACAGAGACCCAACAATCAGTTGCTGGCCTCATCTCTTACTAAATACAGAAATTCCTCCAAGTCACCTCTTTTCCATTTCAGTTGCCTCTGAAGATGGGTGAATTACAGTGCAGAACTAGGAGGAATCAAGAGAAAGCCTAGCAAAGTGCTGTTACACCCACAATATAAAGTGCCCCACAAGGATTTGGTTGTAATTACTGTATTAAAAGAGAAAACACAGACATACCACCTCACAATTCACAGCAAATACACCATGATTACCGTCGGGGGGTGGGGACTTGACAAAAGTCTTCACAAAGCCCTCTAGGTTTTCTTTTTGGTCATGAACGTGAAGCTGAAATAAACATTGCCAAATAAATTACCGTGTATTTCTGCAAGTGCAGTTACGCTCATAAAAATTTCCCCAACTAAAAATTAGTTAATTAACTCTCCTGAATTCTTTCAAATGCCTGTTGATCTCTGGAGGCAGCAGCTCTGGTTCTGACACAAGCAGCGGTCCGGGTGAGAAGCCCTACCTTGGCGACCTGACACCCTGTGGAGCCAAGGACACCTTCACAACAGCGGTACCGTGTTTCTAAGCCGCCGAGGACTGCAAACCAATCAAAAAATAAAAATCAAAACAGGTGAACTTTATAAGGCGGAGTGGCTTCCAGGCCTGTAAGGACACTGCAGTGCAAGTGACTTGATGTTATTCCTTCCCATAGTCGTATTTATTTTTGGATGTTCATACTCAACAGGAAAGACTGACTCCTGGAACACAGGTCTTGTGGAGTACACTTTGAAGGTGAATTACAATTACCAATGTCCTGGATACCTTCCACGCCCTTCCTTCCTCTTTCCCTTATTTTCCTTGGTCCCTCAGCTCTCTTCTGGCATCACCTCCTTATTCTGCTTTGACTTAACCTCAAGTATGTTTTCAGCATCCTCCCCCTTCCCGGACCTTTTCTTTCTGCTGGAGCCCTCTGGCTGAGAGGCTCAAAGTACACATTCCCCCCTCCTATGTGTGAGTTGTTGATCTGACCCAAGAAATGTCACCCAGTTATATAGACTGAGACCACAACACAGAGGTGGTCTCCTGTCTCTACCAAATCCTGATGCCTTCTTCTTATCTTTGCCCAAGTACTATGTACATTTTCACAGTTAGAATCCCAAGCCTTCATACCTCTTACCCCAATCCCATAATCTAGCTCATCTGTTCTCACATCCAACTCAGCCCTTCTTCACTCTGGCCCAAGCTAACATTCTCCCAACTGCTCTCTATTATATCCTTCTGTCTACAGTGGTTTCTGCATCAGTTTTCCTATAGAATGGGTTAGATGGATCTCCTTAAGGCACATATTCATTATATCATTTTCCTCAAGTCATTCCCTTGTTTATTACTGATCAAATGCAAATTTCTCAGGCTGACTCTGAAGGCTCATGCTTAATCAGCCTTACATTACTCATCCAATCTTGACATCCCACAGCTTTATCTTACCTTCTCCTGTGATGAGGAAGGGAGGCAGAGAACCAGTATTAACAGAGCATCTATTATAAGCTAGGACTTTGATGTATCAGCTCACTGAATTGCCACATAAAGCTCATTCCATGAAGGTGGAAACAAAAGCTCAGAGAGCTTAAGTGATTTTGCCCAAGGTCTCAGAGAAAATAGATGGCAAAACAGCCCCGAATCTCAGGTCCACTGGCTCCAATATCCTTGTTCTGTTCATTATGCTTTAAGGTCTGCTTAGCCCCATTGGTCTTACACTTACTCACACTTACTCCTCTTCCCTCTTTGTTCTTCTCCTTCTGGAATTCATAGTGCCTCCACCTTCTGTAACTAAGCCTTCCATGCTCTAAACCCTCAGGCCAAACTTGCCTGGTTTATTACTTATCCATGTATTTATCCAGTCATTCAATCATGCCCATTGTTCTTTTCTATTTTCTCCCTGCTTTATCTTCTTCATACTACTTACTACAATATCATTCACATTCATGTCCATCTCTACATAAATAGTTCATCAGTCCACCATCTCTCCAAATGTTTATTGACCGTCTATATGTATGAGGTATTATGCCAAGTGCTGGGGAGACCATCGGGAGGAAAAAAAAAAAAAAAAGAATGAGTGGTGGTCCTTCCAAAAGCTCACAGTCCTTTGGAGACGGCAGATAAACTACTAGGTCATTACAAAATGCACTTCAGTGCTATGAAAGGAAGAGGCAGGATAGAAGAGGGAAGACCTGTTTCATATGGTGGGGTTGGGAAAGGACCTTGTGGCGATACTATTTAAGCAGAGACACAAAGGAGAAAAAGGAAACAGCCATGGCAAAAGCAGAGAGAATAATGCGTAAGAGGGTTCTGGACAGAGGGTCGGTGTGGTGTGAAAGTATCAATGGACAGGGGAGAAAATAGGGGGCAGAGACCGAGTCAGGCAGGGTCAGCAAGGTAACCAAAGACTTTTAATCAAAGCAGGGCAGAGACAGGACCAGATATGTGATGTAAAAAATTACTCTGGGGTTTTGGGGATGAAAAATAGATTGGAGGGAGGTAGAGAGACAAAAGAACACAGTAGAAGCAGTGAGACTGGGCAGGAGGACACTGCAGAAATTGGGGACGGAGATGGGGGTGGTTTGGACCTGGACAGTGGCAGTAGAGGTAGAGAAGGGACAGGCTCAGACTACATTACTGATGGGCAACACATAACACATACACACTGCTAAGACGAAAAGGTGCTAAGACTAATGACAGTACCCAGGTTTTTGGTTTGAGTAGGAAAACTCCCCAGCTGAGTGGACTGCAGCGAATTTACAGTGTTGCAGGAAAGATGGCGGCTGGGGAAAGGAATCAAGAGTGTATCTTCATTCAGGGCAGGGGTGGGGGTGGCAAGGAATGGAAGCTATTAGCAAAGAAATTATTCTAATACTGGCAGGTGCAAAGCAGGTGATGTCAGGAGGTAGATGACTGTCATGAGGTCTTCATGCACCACTATCACAGCCCAGGACTCCCTGCGCCAGTGGGCCGCAAGGGTAGCAAGTGGTGGTCAGAGTAGGTGCTTGTAATTCAAACTTCAGGTTCAGTACAGTTTCTCTTGACTGGACTGTTTTTGCCAAATACAGTGAACTAAATACTTTATTGCACTTTTCTCTGAACAGCTCTGCACTGGCTTGTCAAATAAATGAAACAACTAAATACTTGCCTTTATGAGTCAGCACTCGGCCAAAGTGGTAGTAACATTCTTCTACCCTACTGTGTTTGCCTGCGGGAGTCACACCATATGTTTTCCCACAACGACAACAGACCTTCTTGGAAGCTAAAGCAAAATATGAAGTGAAATTATTCATGAATACATGGGGAGAAAAGAAAAATGGACTGAAATGCAGGGAATTAACTGCCTTCACATTCTTGATCATGCTTGGAGATTTCATACCCAGGGTTGACCATGAGGTAACAGGAAGCCTACCAGGATTACCCAAAGGAACACTTGCAGGTGACCTGCTCCTGGCACCAGGACTGCCTGTCTTCTAACAGGCATTCTGTCTGCCTCCAGGGTCAGCCTTATGGCAGATAATTTTGGCTTTAGCTACATAACCTCACTGTAGCCAACTTAATTATCTACTTTTAGTACATAGTAACTCCTGGAACAGGACATGTCTTCATTATAGTACATATATATATGTACTTTACATATATAGTGACCTGTGTGCTTATTAAGTCATTGAGAGTAGATCTGGGCTTTTCACTAGACCCATTTGTGAATATTGGTTTTTATTAACAATCCTCAGACTAGTTCTGATGGTGATGGCAACTCTTATCTGAGTGTCTGTTATGAGGTTCTGAGGCAGGCACTGTACCGAGCACGCCACATGCATTCCTGTAACTAATTCTCACAGCAACCTGATGGGGTAGCTGTATGATCCAGATTTGGGAAAACCAAGGCTAGAGGGAAAACCAGAAACCAAATGCAGATGTGCCTTTCTCCTTGAGAGTCTCTGTTCTTAACTGGGTTAAGGGGTGAGGGAGGGAGAGGGAAAAAGTAATTAAATGGCAAAGACAATCATGAAAAAAATATTGAAGATACAAAAGATAAATATTTTCTAATCACTGGAAAAAATATTTTTTAAATGTTTGAGAGAGTGAGTGAGAGAGAGAGCACAAGCAGGGGAGGAGCAGAGAGAGCGGGAGAGTGAATCCCAAGCAGGCTCTGCAGTGTCAATGCAGAGCCCGATATAGGGCTTGATCTCACGAATCATCAAACTATCATCTGAGCTGAAACCAAGAGTCAGATGCCTAGCTGGGAGCCACCCAGGCACCCAGAAAAAATATTTCTGTAATTGCATTTCAGACTCCAATGGACCTAAGATTTGACAGTTGTGATGTTAGGTATTCTAAATTTCTTTCTTGGGGGTGGGGGCAGGAAGGAACTTTAACTATGCCTAGCATTTAGAGAAAATGTAAAATAATAACACTAATTGTAAATCTTTTTATAACATTGTCTAATGAAAGCATAGGAAGTATTCAAAACCTGACACTGCGTATGTATATGAATTAGCTGGTAGGAGTAGGGGCTCCAGAATCAGACTCCTTGGGTCCAAATCCTGGCTCTACCACTTATTTTCAGACTGACCTTTGACCAGTCACTTCACCTCTAAGAGCTTCAATTTTCTCTTTTGTGTGAATAGAGGTAATGCTAGTACTTACCTGAAATGATTATTAAGACTTAATAAATTATGTAAAGAAAATAAACTTCTAAGGGAATGGAAATGAAGTGGGAAGGGGAATAATCTTCTCAGGGTTCCAGCCTCAGCATGTAGCAAGATCATTTTCAGTCCCATACACTTACTGTCAGTTGTAAGAGTTTTGGTCATGCCCGGGTTTAAAAGAATACTGCCTGGTTTGTCAGGGCTGGGTTGGGGATAGTTATTTTCGTGTAACTGTTCTTCTTTTAGAAGGTAGTCTTGCAGATGTCTGTAGAGAACGATTCCTGTGAGTGCTAAGAAAAAAAAGATGTGCAGTTCAATAAAATTTAAATAGCATGTTTTAAAGCAGTGGTAAGGTTAGAGTCTACTAAACCTTTCAAATATGAAAAGCTCAAATGCTGATTAACATTAAGTAAGGGAGTAGCCTAAAAGAATCAAATTCTTCGTAAGCTTTGACCAATATATCTATATATAGATATAGATATAAAGACATTGCTCCCTTTATCATCGGAAGTCCTATAGTTTGGATAAGAGAAGAGGAAGAATCAAATCAGTAATAGCCAGTTCATATTAAGCATGCCAGAAAGTATCCTCAAGACTTTGATTTAAACTTTACATTAATTAACTCAGAAGGACAAACCTATTGACTTTGTTTTTATAGACAAAGTGAGGCTCAGAGAAATGAGGACACATGACCAAGGTTACACAGCACAGTTGATAAACAGACTCAGGTCTTATGGTTCCAAATCATGCTTATTGATTCTTAATAAACACTGAGCTAAGAGGAGCACAAAAGCTTACAAGCAGGAAACATGGTAACGCTCACAAGGGCAAAATGCTCAAGTTCAAGGATCTCTTTCCAACATCACTAACCCTAATCCTCTCACACTAATGGATTCCCAAAATTTCTCCTAATGTATTAAAATTCTGGCATAATGTGCTACACCCTTTTGTACAAGAAGACTTCTTCTGTATGAGAAGAAATATATTAGAAAATTCTAGAAGCACATACTTTGTTTCACACAAGTACTGAGAGGACAAGACAGGTACTACCATCTAGTTTTATTCAAAATATAATGAAAATCAGTAACACTTTTTCTCTAGCTTTTTGCTCCAGGGAGTTAGAAATGCAGACTTTGAGGCTGTTCCTCAACCTTCTGAATCAGAATCTGCCTTTTAACAAGATTCCCAGGTTATTTCATGCTTGTTAAGTTTGAGAAGCACTACTCTCACTGACTAGATAGGTGTTAAGTATCCCCTCCACCCCCTTCAAAAAAAAAAGAAAAGAAAAAAGAGATTGAGAATTCAAATACTGCCTAAGTAGAGCCTGGTTTTTCATCTATTTATACTAATTTTTAAAAAGGCTATAAAATATGTACAGTCTGTAGATGATCCTTCATAAACACAATAGTTTAATAACTGCACTACATCATATTTACTTCTCCACTAAGGTGACTAGGACAGGGGTCTATTATCATTAGACCAAGCTTACCACTTTTCTTTTCATTCTTTTTCAATCCGGTTGTTTTATTGTTGTTACTACTTCCGGATACACCTAAAACACACAAGAAATTTTCTCCTGATATTATGAATTATCTTTGTCTGTTTTATATAAAAAAAGTATAGAACATGACAGAGGTCTATAACATAGCGAAGTCTTTATTTTTACTTTAAAATAGGCACCCAACATAGGAGACTAAATTATTTTTTAAGTAATTCTAAGTGGGAAAAAGTAATTTACTGAACTACTAAGTAGATCAGGACTTTGTATTTTCCAAAGGTAATTTATTCTGTGCATTGGCTAGAATATGTCTAAATGTGAGTCAGTGAGCGTTACTTCATCACTACTACTCTCACAATTTGCAAACCATTTCTATTTCATTGCTGCAAGTATCCAAAATATGTACTTAGACTTCTATGTTCCATTTTTGTGTGCTGTATTTCATATGCAAAGATGAGGGGAAGTGAGAATACCATGAAAATATTAACCCAAAAGGCCCTGTATATTTTATTTTGTTATTATTAAAATTTTTATTTTATTAAGTTTTTTTTTGTTCTAATTCTAGTGTAGTTAACATAGTGTTTATTAGTTTCAGGTGTACAATACAGTGATTCAACAATTCCATACATCACCCAGTGCTCATAACTGTATTTAAAAAAATTTTTTAAATGTTTTATTTCTGAGAGAGAGAGACAGACAGGCAGGCAGACAGACAGCATGATCAGGGGAGGGTCAGAGAGACAGGGAGATACAGAATCTGAAACAGGCTCTAGGCTCTGGGCTGGCTGTCAGCACAGAACCTGACACAGGGCTCAAATCCACGAACCATGAGATCATGACCTGAGCCAAAGTCGGACGCTTATCTGACTGAGCCACCCAGGTGCCCCATAACTGTATTCTTATTCCCCATCACCAATTTATCCCATCCTCCACCCTTCTCCCCTCTGGTATCCATCAGTATGTTCTCTATAGTTAAGAGTCTGTTTTTTGATTTGTCTTTTTTTTTTCCCTTTGTTCATTTGTTTCTTAAATTACACATGAGTGATATCATATGGTATGTGTTTTTCTCTGTCTTCTTTTTCTTAGTATTATACACTGTAGATCCATCCTTGTTGCAAATGACAAGATTCCATTCTTTTATATGGCTGAGTAATATTCCATTGTGTAAGCATGTATATATATGTATACACACATATCTATATACATATAAATATATATGTAGATATATATATGTGTGTCTTCTTTCTCCTTCATCTACCAGTGGACACTTGGGCTGCCTCCATAATTTGGCTATTGTAAATGATGATGCAATAAACACAGGTGTGCATATATCTTTTTGAATTAGTGTTTTCATATTCTTTGGGTAAATAAATACCCTGTAGTGTGATTAATGGATCAAAGGTAATTCTATTTTTTAAGTTTTTTAGGAACCTCCAAACTGTTGTCCATAGCAGCTATACCAGTTTACATTCCACACCCTCACCAATACTTGCTTCTTGTGTTATAGATTTTAGCCATTCTGTCAGGTATGAGGTGATATCTCGTTGTGGTTTTGACTTGTATTTCCCTGATGATGAATGATGATGAACATTTTTTCATGGTTCTATTGGCCATCTATATGTCTTTTTTCAAGAAATGTCTGTTCATGATACCTTGTATATTGTAATACACATATTAAAGTCCATTTAAAGTGCTGTACAAAAAAATGCCATAGGGGTGCCTGGGTCATTTGGTTGAACATCTGATTCTTGATTTTGGCTCAGGTCATGATCCCAGGCTTGTGTGATTGAGCTCCGTGTGGAGCCTGCTTAAGATTCTCTCTCCCCTTCTTCCCCTTCTCCTGCTCATACTTTCTCTCAAAATTTAAAAATTTTCAAAAACATTTTTAAATGCCATAAAGAAATGATCAAGTTTTTACATTCTTGAAATTAAAATAGCATTTCTAAGCGTAACACAAAACCCAGAAACCAAAAACAAAGAGATTAATCACACTTTATTTTTGAGAGAGAGAGAGGGCAAGCGAGCATGAGTAGAGGAGGGGCAGAGAGAGAAGGAGACACATAATCAGAAGCAGGCTCCTGGCTCTAAGCAGTCAGTGGAGCGTCCAATGTGGGACTCGAACCCATGAACCATGAGATGGGAGCTGAAGTCAGACGCTTAACTGACTGAGCCACTCAGGTGCCCCTAAATACACTTTTAAAATAACTTCTAAGGGTGCCTGGGTGGCTCAGTAGGTTAGGCATTTGACTCTTGATTTTGCGTTAGGTCATCATCTCGTGGTTCATGGGATAGAGACCTGTGCCAAGATTCTCTGTCTTCCTCTCTCTGCCCCTCCCCAACTTGTGTGCACACGCACACATCCTCTCTCTCTCTCGCTCTCAAAATAAACAAACATTAAAAGGGAGACAAAATAACTTTTTTATTATTACAGACTTTATAAATAAGGCTGAAGTATAAGCAACAAACTGAGAAAAATATTTGAAGCCTATTAAAAGGGGATATGCAAAAGGTTGTCATGTATCAATAGGCTAATAATAAAAATGGACAGAAAAATGCAATAAAAAAAGATTCTCATTTTAAAGGGAATTTAAAATGAGAGAGAAAGGAAGGTCTTCAACCTCATAATAATAATAAAAACAAGACTAAAATAACCATTTCTGATCTATACTTTCACACTCCAAAACAGGATAAATGAAGAACTTTTGCAAGGTGTGAGGAAAAACCTTATATTCCTACCTTACTAGTGGGAATGTAAAGGGCAACCATTTTCTGGAGGAAGTTAGCAATATTTATCAATTTTAAACATGTAGACCTTTTCTGCTTGCTGCTCTGAGCATAGGAATTTATGTTAAGGATACATAGACTCTAGTATGAGCAAACATTTCAGTTCACAATCCATTAATCACAGAACTTATGGTAGACAAAACATGTAAGCCACCTTGATGCTCACATGCGTGTTTTGTCTGTATTCTACACTCGACACAATGGAGTACAATAGCACAGGTTCTATACAATTGCGTATCATGTAGTCATTAAAATGTATGCTATAGATCTGGATGTTAACACACATTCTAGATTAACTGATGAAAGATTTCTAGGACACTTTATTCAGTAAAAAAAAGTTTGACTATACGCCAAATGACTGCATTCATTTCAATTATTAAAATTACATATATTTCTGTATTCATTATGGAATGGTCTATATTGAAGATTTGGAAGGAAGTTGTCTTTGGCAGTTTCCTTTAAGGCTTTTCTGTAGTATTTGAATTCATGCTATGTATTCTCGAAGGTGGTAGGATTGCCCCCAAGCAAACAAAACTGGCTCTTGAGGAATAATTTTAAAAAATCATAGATATTACAATGGTATGTGGCTTTCCAAAATGCAACCCTACCCAACAAAATACTATCCCTTAAGTACTTAATACTACTGGGGACTGGGGGTGGGAGTAGTAAAAAAAAAAAAAAAAAAATGTCTAAAAAGAAGTCTTAAGGGAGCAATAATGAAAAAAAAAGAAATTTGAGAAATAGTATTTCACATGGAATGAGTTACTTTTATAACCAGAAACCAAATTTAATTTTCTCCATGATAATTGTTCTCAAGGGGTTATAGTCACATGTCTAATTTCAAATCTAATTTATTTTCAATGAAATATCTCACTTGCGTGTTCTACTCAAGATTATTTTTTAAATATATTTAATTGAATACTTAAAAACGACCCCTTATGAAAAAAAACCACATTTAATGTCAGCTGTTCATCATAAGTTTTTATCTTATCACTTGATTAATTAAAAAGAAATTACCTTGATCTGTCAGCTTCTTAAGAGTATTTATTGCTATGTTCAGATACATATTTCTACTGCCACAGCGTTCATAAATGGCCTTTTCTTCTATTTTAGCCTAGATCATGAAGTGAATAATAAAATTTTTAATCTCAAGATGATGGACAATAAATGTCATTTACAACATAATGGGATAAATATGGCAAAATATAACTCAAGGGATGGAGGAAATGACACAAATAAAAGGCAATTTATTTTACTTTTTTGTGTTTATGGTTTTTGAGAGGGAGAAAAAAATTATCCTATGAACCAAACAGAGGAACTAGATACTTCTCTTCACAAACTAAAAACACACTATAGAGTGCAGAGTGCAAAAAACCTACAGTGCATATTCATTTGATTTTCAAAGCAAGCCCCTAATGTATCAAAGGTGCATATTATTATTCTCATTTGAGGTAATGAAGGCTCAAAGTGGCCAAATACTTGGCTTAAGATCACACAGCAAAGGGAAGACATAGTCTTCTTTTTGTTATCTTTATTTTATAGATTACTTTATGTTTTTAGAAAAGTAATCACTATTTTTTAAGTTAACTTAATTTGAGAAGAAGGGTGGGGGGAGGAGGGAGAGAGAGGAGGGAGGAACGAGGAGAGAGAATTACAAGCAGACTCATGCCCAGAACAGAGTCTGATCATGACCTGAGCTGAAATCAAGAGTCAGACACTTAACTGATGAAACCACCCAGGTGCCCCAGTAATCAATATTTTTATGCTAGGATGCATTAAAATCCTAAAGGTCATAAAAAGAAAAAAAAACAGATGAAAGAAATCAAAGAAACCAGTAAAGGGAATATAGTGATAATGTTAATATTAATGCTTTATTGTGCACCTAGTATGTGCAGGTTTGGCATAATACTCCTTAAATGTTTTCTCAGTCTTCATTGTGAATCAGTGAATATGGGTACAATCATGATTAACCTGCAAGAGGCTCAAGAAAAAGTAAATATCTTACTGTTGCAGAGCTAGTAAGTGAATCCAGGTGTGCCAAAACACCAAGGTGAAGACTTCTTACTACACTAAACCTCACAGACAGAAAACCATGAGGGGGCTGGGGAGAGTACAGAAGAAAAGCAAACTGAAATAAAGAATAATATGTCTCTGAAAGAGGCTCCCTTTTTTTTTTTTTTGTCTTTGTTTTGCCATTATTCTTTGACTAGTATAAA